TCAAACATATATTCACTATAATATTAACATGTGATATTTCCTCACGGACTTTTATATTGTTCTACCCCGTTCGATGGTTGTCAAAGAACGCTTATTCATTTTTGTGGTTTCGTTCTTCAGCRTCGCGGTCACAACGTAGTAGCACTGGATCAAGAGGGAASAATTTCGTTCCAGAGGGTTTTCGATACGTACGGAGACCCAWCGGCTGGATCTAAGCTGGATTCCTTTATAAAGGGACTTCCTGTCAACACTATAGTTCTTATTGCAGTCCATGACAGTGCCAACAAATTTGCTAGTGCAGCAGAGAGCACTCTCAAAAGTATCTATGCCAGTGATCCCGCCATCCCTTCTTTCCGSGATTCCTGGGCCCTCRTTGGCTTCAAGGGAACTCCCAAGCCCTCCTGGATTCAGCAAGCATATCATGCCAGGGGTCTGGGTCCTACTACAATATCTGCWTCTATCCCATTGTATGGAAGTTAAGTTCTTTAGATTCAGTTAGATTTAGGATATCAAACATACTCTCAAAGGAGAAGCTCTGTGTCAAATAAATAAAGTTTCCAAAAACAACTCTTGCCATTGACAGGGAGGGCTTCTTATACTGAAAAAACATCCACGATAGAGCGGATTTCGTATGAGTGAGAAACGGACGGTACTGTACTGTGACCGTAATCATACTGTAACCAAATTCTAGTGCCCCATTGGTTCACAAAAATTGTGCAGGCCAGGWCCGGTAACTGTACGGTAACCGTGCGGTAATTTCTACCGTACGTTTCCTACTCATACGAAATTGACTTTAATTAGAAGTCTGTGTATCTATCTACTGAGTCCAAGAACCTTTACGTGGATTCTCTATTCAAATCATGATAGAGTGAAGTGACAAAAAAAAAAAAAAACACGTGAAATAGATTTCTACTAATACACCTTAGTACCCTCTAATTGTTTTCATTTGTGTCATACATAAATGCTCAAAAACAGAGGGTCCCGGATCGCAGGCTCGCACATTAGTTGCACTGTGTAGGGCTTGTTTAAGTGACTTGAGCTCAGGATTAGTGATAGCTGCATTTCTTATTATTTCTAGTGTGCTTAGACTGAATTATGGATCTTTTTCATGGATTTATTATATCACGTCGAGGATTTTGTCTAGATTCGCTGAAAACAACTTTTTTTTATTACAGTTAAAAATGGTGTTTTTTCTCCTGAAGCTATCGGCTAGACCACAATGCACCAAGATTTTATATTTTCAGAAAATGTTTCTTTAAAGCAAATGATTTGATACTTGTATCTTCATGTGTCTGGGTCACTTGTCCATTGTATGGATACAGCTGTTACTACAGKCTTTTCTTTTGGATTAAAAGAGAGGTTCTGAAGCTCCAATGGCGAAGAATTATGAACCGGATTCATCGGTATTACACCCTCGTCAGCCCACAGGAAAGACAAACATGGGAAACAAGCTTTGAAACCCTCACGAAAGTTTTGGCTAAACATGGGATAGACAAATGGGGCAATAGCGCCGTGCAAGTACCCGATGAAATATTTCAAAAAGAGAAAAACTCTAGATCGACAGATYGGATGTTGAAGAAAAGACTTGGCATTTCCACGACACATTCCAGTGTAAATCCATAATGGCAGCCATGCCACTGCAAACAAAACAAGAACTGTCACCAGCATTTTGATGGCATTCTTATTAGTCCTGTCAGAATAACGAAYCAMAAAACGCCCTCGAGCTGTGTTGTGGAGAATGTTTGGCTTCCACAGTCGTATTATAGTAGCAGTGTACAATGAACAAGCAAGTAATAAAGGGAAAACGTAAAAGATCGCGAATTCGATCCATACAAATGCTACTAATCCTTGAATTCCATGAAAAGTCTTGTTGACTTGTATCCCGCAAACAATGTAGCCAGAGTCGGGATGAACCGCTGTAAAACTTCCGTACAAATAAACCCCACCAAAGACAAWTGAGTTAAACCATGTTAGCACAATAAAAATATAAGCTACTTTATGAGTAATGCGTCTCAAAGGATAGAAAACCGCAATGAAACGATCTACTGCTAAAATTCCAAAACTTTGCGTAGACAAGGTTACTGATAAAAATGGAACGAACTTCGTCATGCGGCATACATGTAGACCCCATACTCCYCCAAATATAGAAATGTTGTTTGTGACGTTKATGGCYAGGATTAATTCAGGAACATTTACAACAGCAATAAGCAAGTACGCAATGCTGGTGTTAACAATGAGTAAGTTACTGACTGTTCTCATTCTSTTATTCACATTTCGTATGACGCACGTTAGAATTAGAGAATTCCCYGATACTGACATCAATAGAAGTATTCCCAAGGCCAAGCTTTTCGTTATTTTGGAGCTCAAACTTTCAACTCCATCCAACGAGCCAACAAGCTTTATGGATGAAGTTGGCGTTCCATTGGTGAGGATACTCCCTTGGAATATCATCCCAAAGRCTCACTTTTGCTTTGACGATGTTCAACAGTATATCTGCAAGTTCTTGAACGACGTTAATCCTAATTTAGAAAGTAGATTTGTATCAATTTTCTTTGAGCTTAGCTGAAGCACTTCACGTCGATTATACTGAGTACGACCAAAAGTAACCGCATTAAAGAGAACAGCGCAATACTTTAGAGAAGAACTTTTGTGGTCACTAAACCGATAAGCGATCTATTTTTCATATCTTGCGTGTGCCGATTGACAACCTAGAGACTTATTTGCTCGCCTGTAAAAACAAACTTCAACGTCATGATGAAAAGCATATGTGTGTCATGGTAATCCTTGAACATATGGAAAATAGTTAAACAAACTAAACAAATTTGATGTTAAAAAGTGTACAATAATGCAAACGAAGATTGATGTTTCATCTCMCAAATAAAAGTTAAAGATTAAAGCCTGTTCAAGACGGCAGCCAACAATCCCTTCTGAAAAGGACTAAACTCTCCCTGTAATTAAAGAGTCATTAACAAAACGAGAGACCCAAGTGTAATGATGGAAGTTTAAATCCATTGGCTGTTTGATAGTAAGTTAAACATGACTTTCGGTTTTGAACAACATTATAAACAAGCCATACCCTTTTTTTAAATCACTCAGGAATGCTGAGGCAACTAGCTCTCGATTTTGAGCATTTATAGATTTAGATTTAGATTTTTTCTAATTGGCATCGACATCATCTCAAACTACAATTTCCCTATATCTCTTCCTCTCTTTCGTTAAGTTAAAATAGCGCATTCTATATATTGGAGGCAAATTAAAGTTATTTGAAAACATCATTTCATACCGATAACTATACGATAAACAGAATATTAAAGTGATTGGATACACGTCTCGTACTGTCTCATGTTGAAAATCTCTCACTCGTTCGATACGCTTACTCGAATTTCAAATCCGCATCTCAGCGGGT